GAAGAGAGTCTGCGAAGAGGAATAAGTGCCTTTGAGAGAGAGGGTTCTGGGTTCTCTTCACCATTTCCAGATCTGCGATTGTTGTTGCTTCTGGTTTATTGAGAAATAATTTTGTGCGATTTTGATGGAGATGGTGGACAGATGGGGAAGTTGAAGGAAATCAAATGAGAGACGGAAGGAAACTTTTCACCTCTGTTTTTTTTCTGTAATTAATTATAATAAGGTTATTTATTTATTAATTTAATGACGTGTCATTTTCGGCTTGTTTGGCGCTGACGTATGCATTGATTAGGAGCCTAGTCAGCGAACCGTCAACTTCGTTGACGGTGTTACTAACACCGTTAAAGTATTGGACGGAAATGGCTATTAGTGGTATTTCTCCAAATTTGGCTATTATTGGCACAAACGCGAAAGTTTTGGCTATACAAGTGTATTTTGCCAAAAAAAAACTATACAACAATAAGCTATACACCCCATTATATTATCAAATTTCATACCTCACCTTCCTCCGGCCAACTGGCCGGGGCCCATACTAATATATATATATATATATATATGTACGAACGATTGTCTGTAGAAGGGCATAACGAGTTTTAGTAATAATTAATTACCTTCAAACAACGTCCACAATGAGTAACAGTAGCAAATTTGTTTTGAGACCGCGGGGCACGTAGACCTGCAAAAGGATACTTGTGACGAGAAGCCAGAGGCAGGCGGGAGAGAGAAGTCGCACATGACAACGGTGACGCCGCCGGCGAAGAAGCATTGGCGGCAGCCACTTTGACGACATCATCATCGTCGTCGTCGTCGTCACCATTCAAATAGTGGTTGTTGTAATTACTACGCGTCGCATTAGCGAGATGTGCGAGTAATACTCCTCCTCCATGACCATCTCCTTCATAGTTGCTCTGAGAATGATTAGCAGCAGCAGGAGGAAACTCGCGGCATTGGTACCAACAGTGAGGATAGTCGCAGTGAAAGACATCGTCGCCGCAGTAGAAACTGTTACTGCAACATCGCCCCGGGTCGCAATAGGCGTACGACTTGTCCGGGTTCTGGCCGCACTTGTGGTCGGACCGCTCAACCGTCGATGCAGATCGACCACTACTCGTCTGCAGCAGTACTATCATCATCGTCATCGTCGTCGTCATCATCATATCGATACGATTTTTCATTTCAAAAGTTGGGTGCGAGCTGGATCGGGATTATGTGTTCAATTAATGTAGCTCTTACTACATGCATATATATATAGAGAGAGAGAGATACAGATCTATGTGGGTACGTTTTCTGTGAGATGTATTATATTTTGACAAACTTGCAAAAGGTATCGTTTGTATATGGAATTGCCACATTGGTGGTCACGAAAGAAGGGCAATTGTGTTGTGCGTGCCATCTTATACATCATAGAGATCAGCCGGGTCCTTGTCGTTTCATTCCAGCTATGCTGGTGCGCCAGGCAACCATACTTTTTTTCGGTACATTTAAACAATGTAGTCGGAATCGCGCTTTAAAGTTTACAAAACTTAATTCTTTAAGTTTTCAGGTAGCCAAAAACATTTCTATGCAGAATCTCTGTTTTTATAACTGTTGTAGTTAAAAACGGACTTTTAAAAGTAAAAGTTTACGATTTTACGCTTCTAGGGTCATCATAAAAAACACTTTTACGTAAAAAAAAATGTTTTTTGAGTTTTGACTACATTTTATGTAAATGAAGATTTCTTTTTTACAGATAAATATGCAAACATGATAAGAGCACCCATATGATATGAGTCTCCCTTTCTCTAGTCGTTATGGATATTATAGTTCGTTGTCTTTCTCCAATTGCAGGAACTAAGGGACTTTGTGAGATTCTTCAAATATGTGTACTTGATGAATGCATGTATTGTAAATACAAATATGGTAAGAATTAGATAATTGGAAGAATGTCTTGTTTGTTTGTAGTCATTCAAAAATTTTAAGGAAAAGAGGGGGGGAAAATCACTTTATGTGCTAAAAGTAAAACAAATTAAATCCCACAACCTCAAAGGATTAATCTCACCTTTTAGTTGAGATTTAAAATGAGTGATTGTGAGTGATATGAGATTTGAGGGTCCACCTCAAATGTATGTATTGAATAAAGTTTTGGAATAAAAAAACGATGGATTCTCCAGAATACATGAATTCAAAGAATCATAAGTTTCAAACGAGCCCTAAAATCACCAAACATTTCTCGATGGAATCATTAATCCTCAATCGGTAACATTTAGAAAATCGATTGACCTATATTGACTAGAACTTTATGCATGTGGTATTTCAATTGTAAAAACTCTAAATTTGAATTATTGAACTAATTAATGTCAGTAACTATACTTACAATTTACCTATATCATATATGTTACTATATGTCATTAGCTAGTAGGGGTGTCAATCGGTTGGTTTAACCGAAAATCGATTTCTCGGTTATCAGTTAAACCGAGCCACCACCTCCCACTGTCAACCACCGACCGTGAGGGACACAACGGCTAGCCGACCACCGACCAGTCGGTTATCGATTTTGGTTCGGTTATCTGCATACCCGAAAAACAATCCCTTCTCTCCAAAAAATTTATTAAAAATTATTATTAAAAAAACAAGCGTGAATCCCCCTACCACTAAATCATGATCTCATTCCTCCTTCTCTCTCCTTTCTTCCTCCAAAAAAACCCCACCAGACCACTTCTTTCTTCTCTCTCCTTCATTCCTCCATTTCAAACCCACCACACAAGACCACTCCTTCCTTCCTCCATTTCAGATTTAGACAACACGAAGGAGAAGCAGAGGCACAACGACGACCATGTAGGAGAAGCAGGGGCGGATGTCGGGGCAGGGCCGAGAGGTGAGCGGAGGGAGCGGCGACGTCCCCGGCACAGGACAGGCGAAAATGGGGAGGCAGATGGATGGATAGATCTGCAGGGGGCGGGTGTGGGGGGCCTTGGATTGCCGCCTGCTCTGTCTGTTGGCTCGACGGAGGAAGGAGGGGATGGCGATGGGAGACGCGCAGAGCCTGGGGTCGTCGGAGATGGGAGATGGTGATATCGGAGCGTAAGAAGAATAAAGAATTAGAGAGATGGGTAGATGGCGATGGAAGAAGAAGAAAAAGAAATTTTAGGGAAGGGCGTTTGGATTAGGGCTGGCTATTTGGTCCGAACTGTTTGGTTTTACCTGAAACCGGACCGTATAACCCGGACCGGGACCGGATATCAAACAATCCAATCTCATATTCGGGCTTAGATTTGAGGTAAAAAAACCCGGATAAGAGACCCCCAACACCTAAAATCAAAATCAAATTGGGACCGGACCGAGTAAAGACCGGACCGGATCAAGACCGGACTGTATCCAATCCAATCTTTGGTCATTATATTCCCGAAAAAATCGGACTCAGACCGGATCAATTTGGTCCAATTTAACCGGACCGTATAGCCACATCTAGTTTGGATGGCTGGCTAGGCTGGGCTTTGGAGGAGGACGGAGAAGAAAGAATTAAGGAGAAGGCAAGATGACTGGCCTGGGCTTTGGATGGCTGAGCTGGCTTTGAGTGACTGGTCGGTTATTTTGGATTAGTCGGGTAACTGCAATTAATCATCCTCGATTACTCGGCTAGCCGAAAATCACCTTTCTTCCACCGACCACCAACCGAGGTAAATAATCGTTGATTTTCGGTGCAACCGACCGGTTAGCCGCTAACCGGAAACCTAACTGCCACCACTATTATCTAGCCACGAAATTTCTGCATTCTGCAAGTGGGACAACTATTATTGGATGTCGGCTCACCTTCCCTCCATTATTCTAGCTTAGCTTTCATGGAGCCCGATCGATCGAACGTCCACCGTTCATCGATCTCTGATGTGGGGCACTTCTTATCCATTATTCCTCAACCATATCTCTTTATATCAATAAACCAAATTGCCTCATCTCTACCCACAACCACTCCACTCCACGATGACGCCGCACAACATTACGTGGACAACAACCACCGTCACCGTCGCCGTGCTGCTGCTATTGATCATCACCGGCAGCAGCGGGTTCAGTACTCCTCCGGCGCGCTACAATAATATCAGCGGCAGCAGCAGCTTGGCGGCTGCGGCGGAGGAGGGCCGGAGGGTGGAAGATGAAGTGGAGATGGTGGTGATGGATTCCGAGACCCACCGGCGGATGCTCGTGAATTCGATCAGCTACGACGGAGTCAAGCTGCCGTCGAAACCGGCGACCAACTGTGCAAGAAACGACTACTACTGTTTGGATAAGATCCGGAAGCGGAAGCTCTACTGTGATCACCACAGCCGCGAACCGGCGTGCCACGCCTGATCTCTTTAATCGGGAATTATTACGTTATCTTTATATGGTTGTCGTCGCCCGGCCACCGTCGCCGGCGGGACCAGATTTCGGTTCGGTTTTCATGTTTTAGTGTGCAATTCAATGTGTAGTTTTACTCTTCCTATCCATACTGCACTTTGGGTAGAAATCAAAATAATGTTGATGTTGAATAGTGAGAAAATCATACATTTTCACCAGCAAAGTGTTTATACGTTATTCACTAAATATCACGTTTGGTCGATGGATTAGATTTTATCATTTCTTTTTCCATTTTTTTTTATGTTTGGTCAGTGATCGTTAACTTCTAGTAGATTCGGTTAACATCATTAGTGATTGGGGGCGAGCCAGTGTTATTTCGACAAACATCATTCGGTTAACGTCACTCGTGAATTCAGTGAACAAACGTATTATTTCGACACACGTTTTACTGTATCCACAACAAGGTTGTCCGATTTGTGCCGATTTGACTAGTGGTATGGTCCAACCAGCGGTACAATAGGTTTTATGCCGGTTTTAGGAAAGTGAACTCATTAACACTAAATAAATGACTTTAGGGATATGCATAACATATTTGAAAACAATGTCTCTAAAATTCACATCCATATTTAGATCAAATATAACATTCCTAACGAAATGAAAAATTATCATATTTAAATACAATAATTAGCGCCTGACATCCAAAAATTTATCCGCAATATTCATACTTAAATCCAACAAATACCGTCAAACATTTAACAAAATGGAACGTGCTGTGCTGTGTTTCATTTCAATTTTCAGCATCCATCTATGTCGCTTGTCGCATGGCGGTGGCAGTGAGGGAGCTCAATTGGTGGAGGGGAAGGTCACTCAGTTCAGTAAAAGGACAAGCGAGAAATCCCAAAAAGGTACAGAAGAAAAGTCGAGCCGTCGGAGATTCTCCTCGGAAGTAGCGAAGCTGCGAAGGGAAGCAACTTTTCCCACCACCGTCTCCGCTACACCAAACAAAGCGAGCAGCTAGAATCCACCGCCGCCCCGGCGCCGCCGCCTGCCGAAGGATGCGGATCGTCGATTCAGCCGCCATCATCGTCGCTGTCCGACTCTCCTATGGTCGCTCGTTAGTTACCAATCCATCCCTCCATTGTTGAGAGAATAATAACAAACAGGGAAGTAGGTCAAACATCGAAAAACACCTGCAGCAGGGATTGGATTGGAGGGGAAATAAGGATTTTCAATGGGGTGCTTTCACTCCAAAACCTTCCATCTGTTGTCTCCCGATAGCAAGCAGCAGGAACCGCTCCCACTTCCAGAAGACCCGAAGCAACTCGCTACTAATCCCGATCCGTCCATCCCCGGCGATCAACTTGACATCCCAGTATTCCGCGAGTTCCCTCTCAACGAGCTTCGTGCTGCCGCCAATGGGTTCAGCTCCGAATTCATTGTCTCTGAGAGCGGTGAAAAGGCTCCCAATGTTGTGTACCGAGGCAAGCTGAAAGACAATCGCCTTGTTGCAATCAAGCGCTTCTCCAACCTTTCCTGGCCAGATCCCCAGCAGTTCCTGGTAATGAACATGAATCATGGGTTTCAATCCCTTCCTTGATTTGGCCCCCCCTTTTTTTTTTCCCTCTCTGCATTTACTGAAGTCTTCATAGCTGACAAATTGTAACAGAGTGAAGCTTCTATGGTTGGGAAAGTGCGGCATAAGAGACTGGTTAACTTAATCGGGTGTTGTGCTGAGGGTGATGAACGTTTGCTCGTTGCTGAGTACATGCCTAATGATACCCTTTCCAAGCATCTCTTCCATTGTATGTATACTGAGCTTAACATGGATGAGGATTCGAGAACCATGGGCTTGTTTTTCTCTGTGCCCCTTTTTCTGTCTTTTTCAACACACATCTCTAACCCGTTGTTCTCTTTTTGTTCTTTTCCCCACACCCTTTTGCTTTAGGGGAAAAACAGCCATTGCCCTGGGAAATGCGTGTCAGAATTGCCTACTACATTGCTCAAGTGCTAGATCATTGTGACACTCAGGACCGCAAAATCTACCACGATTTGAATGCCTATAGAGTTCTTTTTGATGAGGTGCTTGCGATATTCTTTGCATGCCTTTTGATAATAGTGATGTTTTCTGCTGCTGCTTTGAAGATTCTGGCAATTCGACTTCAAAGTTGCCCACTTTTCTTGTCCATCCTGCTTCTTTCTATGCTTCTTTAAGTTGCCTTTTTGTTTTTCTAATGTGGAGTATGTAGATTACATAGTGTTAAAGTTTGATGTGGTATGACCCACCTGCTCTTGTGTTGCATTTTGAAACTTCCTTTTAACATTGCAGGAAGGTGATCCTCGGTTGTCTAGTTTTGGCCTCATGAAAAATAGCAGAGATGGGAAGAGTTACAGCACAAACTTGGCTTATACCCCGCCTGAATTTTTGAGGACAGGTAGAAACAATACTGAGTTGAGGCAGCAATATATTTCACTTATAAGTTTTGGTTACTTGTACGTTCTCTTAGTGCAAACTGCAAAGTCATTCGTCAATCACTATAACCTTCTACTAGGCCTGGGGTGCAATCAGTTACTCCAAGCATTTATGAAGATGCAAGGGCAGAAAGCAATTTGAGGCTCCCCAATCTTTTCTCCATAATTCATGTTCGTGTCTTGAATTTCTTTTCATGTTTCACTAGACGTTATCTACATGTAAAACTCAATGATTCTCTAATCCATACGATGAACTGCTTTGACTGAGGATGTTTCTTAGCGAGTCTGAGGAATCCGTTTAAGAATCGCGGTTATCCTTCAAGGCATTAATGACCAAGCAAGTGAAACAAATGCCTAACCAGAAAGGTCTAGTTGATCTTTTTGGTCGTTATTTGTTCCACCTCATCTACTTTCATCTTTTCTTAAGTGCAAGTATTTTACTGAAAGTTCCTGGTGAGGCATACACCGAGGGTTTTTTGGGGTGAATTTCAATGGAGAATTAACTGTACAGGCATTGGACTACGTTAATAAGGAAAATGAATTAAAGAATGGTCCCCTATGGTAAATTTTTTAGGTCTATAAACATCTAGTCTCACTCACCAATACTCTTGTCCACTCTCTCTATGAAGAGAGCAATTGGCTCGTAAAAGAGTAACCTTATCGTTATAAATCTACTGCAGAGCTGCTATTGTAATTGGATAGCTAGAATATTTCTATTATATGATGCAAACTTTTCAACTTATCAAGTTGGAATGGCTAGCAGATGTCAGAAATCACTTTGAAAATGGCATTTTGCCAAGTGTTAGGCTATAAGTTTAGTTTGTCTACACGAATGCCTATAGAAGTAAATTTGTGTAGTGATTTCGTCTATGTTTAAAGCTACAATTTATAAGTTGTGAGAGAGATGGGGCAGTCTGTCTTAGATGGTACAATAGCTTGTTTTTCTGGTTTAACTGCATGCTAATCTTTACCCCTTATCAACTGCTAGTCACAAAGTTATCTGAGAATCACTATTGACCACTTATTAGAAGTTTGCTGTGTGGTTGCGCCATGTAGAAGAAAACTTGATATTGGCTGCTTGATTTATTTATATTATGTGGATGTTGAATTGCTGCAGGTAGGGTCATCCCTGAAAGCGTAATATACAGCTTCGGAACTGTTCTGCTGGACCTTTTGAGTGGGAAACATATCCCTCCAAGCCATGTATGAGCTTATTGCACATAGTAGCTGATATCATCCTTTCATTATAACATTAGAGCTATTGCAATTTACAAGTACGACTTTAAACATAGTAGTATTGACCTTGTGGTCCGAGTTGTTTGGAGATTTGTATCATTCATAAGAAAGTTTTGAAACAGCCTTGCTTAACATACCTCCTTAATTGCATGGCTTCAATAGACTTCTGTTAGATGGAGCACACTTATTGGTCACAGTAGAAGGCTCCCAATAATTTCCAATTGGTGTTTGTTTCTTCAGGCACTGGATTTAATCAGGGGGGAAAATTTGCTGTTGTTGATGGATTCATCCTTGGAGGGACAGTATGCAAATGAAGATGCAGCTGTGTTGGTTGAACTGGCCTCTAAGTGTTTACAGTATGAGGCTAAGGATCGGCCTGTTGTCAAGTATCTTCTTACTGCAGTAGAACCACTCCAGAAGCAGAAAGAGGTTCAGAGCGTCTTAAGCTTGCCTGGGAATTTACTTCTATAGTTCTTCTATAACACAAATGCTTGTGCATAGATGTTCTTAGCAATTTTATTGGATTGATTTTTCCTAGGTTTCATCTCATACGCTGATGGGACTATCAAAAACTCCGGTGCCACTTCCAATTTTGCTTTCACCACTGGGGAAGGCTTGTGTAAGGATGGATCTCTCAGCAGTGCACGAGGTCTTGCTTAAAACAGGATATAGAGATGAAGAAGGAGCGGAAAATGAGGTTTGTTTCTCTATCGCCGTTATTTTATATGGAGAGCTTCAGCTGGAAAGTAAATCCATTGTAAATTAGCGAGTCAATGAATAGGGAGCCGACATTGGAGATGTATGATCTAAATCTGTTGCTTCGTTTATTCATATACCTTGGCAACACAAATATCTGTATGATCTAATTTTGCTGCCCTGTTCTTTCGTTTCTCAAAGCTGTCGTTTCAAGAATGGACCCAGCAAGTGCAAGACATTCTGAACACAAAGAAGTTTGGTGATATTGCTTTCAGAGACAAGGATTTTAATAATGCTATCGATAACTACACAAAGGTAGCCTTTTCATTATTTGGATTGCAGGGTGAAGACCGAGAATGCAATGATCTCTGATTGTTTGGTTGGGGATATATATGCCCATTTCCTATTTATGCAGCTGGTGTCGTTGATGTCGGTTCCTTCAGGAACCGTGTTTGTGAGGCGAGCATTGTCCTACTTAATGGTAGAACAAGCAGAACTCGCGCTGAGAGATGCAATGCAGGCACAAGTCTGCTTGCCCGAGTGGCCAACAGCGTTCTACATGCAAGCGCTCGCGCTGTCAAAGCTCGGCATGGAGAGTGACGCTCAGGACATGCTGAATGACGGAGCCAACTTTGAAGCAAAGAAGCAAAATAGCTGGCGCCATCCGAGTTAAGATCATGGTTTCGCTGATCGCAACTAGATGTCTCTGCGCAATGTAGGTGGCGGAAGAGATAGAAGCATGATCAAGGTCTATTTCCACATGCTTAGGAAAAGAAGAGTTCATTAGGTTAACCCTTGGGAGGGTTTGTAAGTTTCTTTTTGGCAGTCTACCCTGGCTTAGTGTTAGGTAGCAACTAGCATAAGTTATGTTGTTGTTGTTGTTGTTGTCAGTCTTTTGGGTTTGTTTTTCCACACCACGATTAAGAGTTGTACAATCAAGAGATCAATGTTGAGCAGACATCAAGTAATGAGACGGCAGAGGAAGGTTCGATTGATAAAAATTTGAAATTAGGGACTCCTTTAAGGCTTTATTAGTACTGGAAAGACGAAATGACTAACTGGTGAAGTATTGAAGAATTATAGAAGTTCAAGGACATTGTCCACATTTGTTCATTTTAACCTCGCAATCTACTGTTTATGTAACCTAATTGCATAGATGTGTTACTTGTCCCTGGTAGGTGGCTATAAGGTTACAGTTTCGCGATTAAACCACTAACAACATCAAATATGCACGGATTGTAGTTAACTGCAAATCGAATAAGGGTTTTATGCGGTAGCGGTTAGTGAGTGATATTGACAGTTTTGCTGCTATGAATAAAACTACTTGAATCTAACAAATGACATCAAAAGAAAAACTAGCTCCCTTTCTAACAAGACTCGTTCACTTGCAGTGTCTGCAAACAAGAAAAGAAAAACCCTGCACATGGTGACAAACACAAGCATATGTCTGGCAAATCTGCCGGACTCTTTCATATGAATCATATTCTTCCCTCACCGAACTGGGTTTTCCTTTTGTACATGTGCATGCCTTTATTTATTCATTAATTACACGTAGTAATAATACTACGACTACGTCTTCCTCAACTCCTACCTCAAAAACGCCTCCTTCGATCTCCACCTCACCAAATTCTCCACCGTCGATGGTTGTGAGAATCGTCGTCGTCAGAGGAATTGCTGTGGAGGGCGTCGATGGTGGCGAAGGTGAAGGAGTATCCGTTCCCTCGGGTGCCGATGCTTCTGGCGCCGATGTGGGAGCTCTTCTTCAAAGGGAACCAAGGGCTCTGTTAGTGTTGTGGTATATGATTCACGATTGAACCTCTTCCAACAACTCGAGTTATTGGGATCAACTGGTTCTTGACATGGTATCAGAGCCTTCTGTGGCCGAGAGGTCTTGTGTTCGATTCCCGGTGACCCCCATTTGTTAAGCACATGGTATATATTTTTTTTTTTTAGATAAGGGTGATATAGGTTAGTTTTTTATTATTTGGTACTACTCAAGGGACTTGAACCTAAGACCTCCAGGTTCATGGCTAGTGGTATTACCACTAGACCAATCCCTTGTTCGTAAGCACATGGTATTCTTATCTTCAGATCTGTGCAAACTTCAAGCCCTTGTGAGTGACTTTCGTTTAAGGATGCGTGTTAGTGTTGTGGTATATGATTCACGATTGAACCTCTCCCAACAACTCGAGTTATTGGAGCCAGGTAAACTAACAAATTTCGACCCCAGCACTGTCTCGTCTTATTGAACTTTCTTAATTCAGTCTATCTCAATTTCCTACAATATTTATTTATATTCTTCTGTTTTGAACTTTCTTTAACTAATTAAGATGGCGTGTTAATGTTGTTTTTTTTTTTAAGTTCGTGTTTCCTGTAACATAGGTATTAATATTGTTTGATGGTTCGAAGAATCATTCTTTCTATGCATATCTAATTATTGAATTGAGCATGTTTGTATCGCTTATAAAAAAATACCCCAAAGTACGAAAACAATTCAACAATGTCATGTCATGTCAGCACTCAGCACACATTGCTTAACACCTGTACGTGTCAAGTTAGTTTTACATAACAACCAAACTGGATTGTGATTAGAGTTGACAATTCTCAATCCAATTTACTAATTCATTTAAAATATTCAACTAATCCAATCCATTTGATCAAAATCCAATTGGATTGGTGAATTCATGAGTTGGATTCATGGATCCTTGTCAAATTACAGCTTAGTACCTACAATTTTTATTTTTGACATTTTGGTATATAAAATTTAATTTTTTATACGAAAAATATCATTGGAAATATACGTTTTGGTACCTAAAATTTTCATCATAACATTTTACTATCTAAACTTTTTGCATTTTACATATTGGTTCTAGGTTAATGATATCATTTGGATTCATGAATAATCCACCAATCATGTTATTATAATTAATAGTGACGCCACAAATGGTGATGTTCCATGGCGACAAATGGTGATGTTCCATGACCTGCTGTGCATAAGAATTATGATATGCTTTATACGGTTTGTGGTGTGATTTACTGTATTTCTAGTATGTGTTTTATGGTATGTTTCGTGGTGAGGGCGGGACGGAGCAACGTTTTGTACCCCTAATTTTTAGTAATGACAATTAACTAGCGTGTTCCCCCTTTTATAAATCCGTTTTAATTGTGGTCAACCATTAAAATAAAATAACTATCAAAATGAAATTTTACTATTCACTCGAGTTAGTATTGGCACCCTACTAACAAATTGAGTGTGTCACTATCACTTTGCAACCCATGATTAAATAGCACAACTAATGTAATTGGCGTCAACTATCAATGTTAGAGTGTGGTATAAGATCCAGCATAACCTTCTCCCAACAACTTGAGTTATTGGGACCAACTGGTTTATGACATGGTATCAGAGCTGGTTTGACCAAGTGGTCGTGTGTTCGAATCTCCACGACCCCAATATTAACCGTGTGTTCAAGAAGCGACTTACTTGTTTCTTGTTTGCCAGGAAGTTTCTCACTACTTCGTTGGTTAGGTTGTTGACATATGCGCCTAAAGTCATGCACTTTAATCCCTAGCTGTAGATGATCGAGTTGATGTTGTTTTAGGAGGAGAGTGCTGATTGTGTTACGAAAGCTAGTCCGAGTTGATTTTGTTTTCTCGATTTTGTTTTTCCTGATCGGACTTTGTGTTGTGTTGTAAACTAGGATGTATGCTTGTTGTTGTGGCCTTGATTTTGATGAATCTATGAATTCAAATTGAGAATCTAGATAGCCCTTAATCTATATTGCATGATTATTTCGGCGATTGTGTCTTTCGATTTATCATGATGACATATTGAACTGTCGCGCGATTCTACTATGTTCTTGTACACTTCTAAAAACTAGTGGTGTGGAAATGTACAGTAGCTTCAACCTAGCTAGATGAGAAGCAAAAAAGAAAGACAGACATTCATGATCATCTGTTATCACATTTTTTCCCCTTCTGCCCTGCAGCTCCCCTTCCACTTCTTCTGCAACAGCAAAGTCTACTTTCTGTGGCTTCCCACTGACATTTCTAACCTCCAAACATTACTTCCCATGTGTTCACTCTCTCCGTTCATCCCTCACACTATTCCTTCTCTCCATGGCCTTTTTAAAACCCGTTTTTTATCTCTCGGCCAGCAAAACAGAACCATGCAGTTACAGAGACTCTAGGAAAAATGAGGAATTTTAAGGTGACAATATTGGGCAAATACCTTCCAGTGCGACTCAGAAAAGAATCCAGTAGAGGTGGAAGCCTTCATGTAGGAATCACCACCATAATTCTCTGCTTATTCATCGCGTCGATTGTTCTGTTTCTTGGGGCTTTCTTACGTACACATGTAACAGAGTTCTTGTCTTCCTCTTCTTCAATGGAAGAAGTACTTCCTGCTATTTTCTTCTCTCCTCCTACTCCCAATTGTGCTTCCAGCACCATGAATACTTCTTTGGCTTCTCCATCGGCTGATCAAGTATGGCATTCAATGAACGACGAGGAGCTACTGTGGCGTGCATCGATGGAGCCACGTATCTCGCAGTATCCTTATACTCGCACCCCAAAACTGGCATTCATGTTCTTAAGCAGGGGAAGCTTGCCACTTGCACCTCTCTGGGAGATGTTCTTCAAAGGGCATGAAGGCTTTTACTCCATTTATCTTCATGTTTCTTCGATAACAGATTTCACGCCTCCCTACTCATCATCAGTCTTTTACAATGGCATGATCCCAAGCAAGGTCAAAACCCACTTTTAAAATCTGTTTTCTTCTTCTGTTTTCATGTAAGTTGAAACTTACAGCTAATTGACTGCAGCCAGTGCAATGGGGAACAGCAACAATGGTGGATGCAGAAAGGCGATTACTTGCCAATGCGCTTCTGGACTGGTCGAACGAAAGATTCATTCTTCTCTCGGATACCTGCATTCCTATATTCAATTTCACCACAATCTACAACTACCTTATTATCAGCTCATGGAACCAGAGCTTCCTGGGCTCCATCGATGACCCTCGCCCTATGGGCAGGGGACGATACAACAAAAGAATGCAGCCAGAGCTGACCCTGGCCGACTGGCGCAAAGGTTCTCAGTGGTTTGAAGTCCATCGTAGGGTCGCAGTTCAGATGGTCTCTGACATAAAGTACTACTCTATTCTCAAACAACATTGTAAGCCTCCACGGTGTTACATGGACGAGCATTACTTCCCGACACTTGTGACAAAGATCTTACCAGAGATTAACACGAACCACAGCATCACGTGGGTTGATTGGTCCCGACCAGGCTCTCATCCCTCCATGTTTGTTAGGAAGCATGTGAGTGAAGGGTTCTTAATGAAGGTTAGGAACATGACCGACTGTGGGTTTACTCATCGGACTAGGAGCACCATTTGTTTTCTCTTTGCTAGGAAGTTTCACCCAAGTACCTTGGAGCCTTTGTTGAGGATAGCTCCATCTTTGCTTGGTTTCACCGATAAAAGTAATTAAGACCCGTAGCCTATTGTGAGCAGATTACTAACCAAACATATTACTGATGAAGATGACTAACCAAACGGATTTCATGGGCCAGCATCATCAAAAAGAACCTTATAAAACCTTTTTCTTTCTTCAGGGTTGAACAAACCACTAACCTTATCTCTATCTTGTTCTGATGATTCAGTACTTCTATCCTTCTTTTTCCCAGACCTTGCAGCAACAAAACCATTCTTCTTCTGTTTCTCTAAATTCATTAAATAGTGTCGCTGGTTATACTCATGAAGTCCTTCTTGCATCAACTCACCAAATTTCCCCTTAACAACAACAAGAGGATCCATCTCTTTTAGTTCCGAGCCATTATATGCATCTTTCAGAAGAACCGTGTATATCTGGTACTTGTTGGACACATAGAATATGCCAGGATGCTTTAACAACAGAACATTCAATTTGTCTGGTAAACTGAACTCTTTTTTGAAGTGCCCCAGCTTAACGATTGACATCTTCTTCCACAAAGTCAGCGAGAGCAATTCGTGTACCAAACCCACAGTTCGTTTCTCCGTCTCCTTAGCACCTTCGACCAATCCCCTGGCACGATCGTAAGGTGACACATACGGGATGGCATTGAATTCATGAAATCTTTCCCATGATTGAACCCAAGATGAAGGCAGAGAACATGAAAAACAAGGGCTGCAACCTCTCTCCAATGCTGAGGTTTCCACAGCAGAAACTGCAAAGTCTGGGTTCCATGATAAAAGTTCAATCTCCATTGAACTCTTTCTCCCAGTGTGGTTGACAAGTCGAAACATGTCCGGGTATCTGGGGAGAATTCTAATTATGTAATCATCTGGAAACCCCAAATTTCTTCTCAGCTCGTTAAGTTTGACAACATTGATCCTCTGGTTAGTGCTCATCATCAACAACTTGGCTAGCCGCTCGACATAAAAGGGCTCCTGCATATCTTTAACAGATTCTTCCTCCTCCACTAATGACAGCATCCTCTTAGTCAATCGACAGTAGTACTCATCATTCTGTAGATAGACATCGAAACAACAAGGGTATTTCTTGAGCCAATTGACGGCTTTACCTTGAAGATCAAGAGTCCTGAACCTCTTCTGCAGATATTTGACAGAGGCAGCTTGGCCCGGACATCTTAGAATCATGTTCTTTATTTGATTGTTGACAATCCATCTACGGTTTCTAGATAGAGCAGCTTCAAGATCAGGGTCCTTCTTCATAGACCAGAGCGAAAAATTCCGAAGAGGGTGAAGCAAAGGCAAGGATTTCTGCATACTACTGCCATTGATTAGCTTCTGAGCAAACATGAGATAAACCAAATGTATATCCAACTCCTTGGATCACCAGAAACTTTAGCCCATGCGCCACTCTTGCTAAAAACCCTACAGAACCAGAACAAAACATTTTATTCAAACCAACAATCACAAGACTAACAGCTTGAACGTGATTGCATTTCATCACGCAGTTTTAGTTCACAATTAAAAACTAACGATGGATTCTGGAATGTGGTGAGATTCATGACTCGCACAAGAGAAAATGATAAAGCTTGAGGTGGGTACTTCCGTTACCGTCAATATATGGCTTCTCCTGACTCTCGTTTGAGTAGTTGTTGAAGAGAAATGATGATGTTGGATTCCAGATGCTCGGACCAGGTTGCCGACGGCTTTAATCGCCTTCTTCTCCTGAACTAGAGAAACCCCCAGAAGAAAATTTCACGCCGGCAGTTGGTGAATCGAAAGAGATAAGCTGCCGGATCGTATTGAAAGTTGAAACCGAAATTAGGGATTATGAATCTGTTTTCTTCGCCGAAGGAATTAGAATCCGGGGATTGCCTCCGTCGGTCGGACGAGTTTCTTTTAGTCTTATTGCACTTCAATACCTCGACTATTGGATATCTACTATTTAAGCCCACAAACTAATTTTGTTTCTGTAGTGCCCGTTTCTTCCAATATTCTTTTGAATTCATTTTGACACCATAACTGAGATTTTGGTATGTTTGTGCAATGCTTTGGTTCACAATTCGTGCAACCCAAATGCAATATTCTGGAGTGGTGGTTATGTTGCATTGTTGATCCAAGAATCACATCGTCTAGATGGATGAAACAGCCTCTGAACGCGAAGCCCACTGACGACGGAAACGAAGTGTTTGAGGTGCCACTGCTAGAAGGTATGCACTCGTGTTTCAGTGCAAGACAAGTTAACGCCGATGGTCCAGTTATAAGATACCAGCCAATGACCAAGTTGATGGAATTAGGAGCAGCCAGACCAGGAGTTTCATGGTGGTTTTCAATGCAGCAGAGAGACATGTCTTGTGCGTTTGTGATCTGTTCGATTTCGAGGGGGTACTTGTGCAGGCATGCTACGAGTGTTCTTAGCCAGAATGGGGTTGAGGAGTCCCCGCCGAAATACATTGTTTCTCGGTGGAGGAAGGGTATAAGACGACGGGGTCGTGCTCTTGATAATGCTTGCAGTTCCATTACGAGGTTACGATACAGGGACTAGAAACTATTTTACAAACACTTCATCTTGCCACAGAGGCAGGGTTGCAAGAGAAGCTGTCTTCTTTGTAAATAAAGCGATTTCTCTATACTGTAGTGGTCGTTCCTGTAACTGGCCCTATGGTTTACAAGAAGCACCTGTAATTTTTCGTGATACATCGCAACATAACAGATAACACTAAACCGAAATTCGTCGCAGTTACCTGTCTGCACCCCCTATTTGAAGATGAACTTGTTCCTGACAGAGTACGTGACTGCTCCAGCAATAAGTAATTGAGGGGGGTGCTACACTTTCCGTAGAATGATGAAACACCAGCAATGAGGTAATATCAATGTTCATCTCGACAAGAAATGTGCCCCGCAGCTTTTTTCAAACCTTTCCATTGAAAACCCCTACAGCATGTTTAGCAAGGCCTCCAATCATTGTCGGTTCAAACGACGGGATAACATTGAGCACAAAAAAGTGCTGGTGTCCACTTGTACATGTTGTGTGGAGATATGTACATTGGAAAGCAAACGCTCTAAAGTGCTTACCTCAGGCAACTTGCCTTGTTCAGCCAAATGAGCCACATGAAGCCTCACATTTGATGCAGCTAGAGCCCAAAAAGCACGATCTACTCCAGAATATACTTTTGCAACTATGTCAATCAGTGTCTTGCTTCCCGTCTCTATAGCTTCCAATATGGAAGCTTCTCTACTTCGACGGTTCCTGAGAAAAAGAGATCAAATCATGTAGAGGATACAGTATACTGAAGTGGCAATGAATCGAAGTTGGATTGATATGCAGTTAATGAGTTTTAGATGTATAAACTCTCAATTTTATACAATTTCCTGAGCCATGACAAGACCAACATTGCCTTCGGTAACCATAGATATAGCGGAGTGACCTCAAAATGAGATCAGACTACCAGATGTGAAATAATGGCAAGCAATGTCCTTACTTGAGATAACCACAGAGCATGTTCTTTGGCCACAAATTGACTCTTCCGTGCATCGGAATCAAAATGTTGGGAGACAGGTCAATAAATTTGTAAGTTGAATGGAAGTATTCCTGCATATATAATAAAAAAATTGCATTATAATTTATATCTAAGATGTTTACAAGTGGCACATTCAAAAGGACATGGTTCCATAGTCGCAGGAGTGTTCTATTATGTCAGGAAGACGCTATTCCATCACGGTATCCCTTTCTTTAGGATGATACTTTAGCATCTAGCAATATAAGAGAAGTGAAACTGAGCTTTATCATCACTTATTCCAGTCATGACAAGTCTACCATGTTAAGAACTATAGCGAAGTAGGAGGAAAAAAACGTAATAGATGGCATGAAGGAAAGAAGAGGAAGTATCAACATTATCACTAAAACCAAGAATCGATAATCAACTCACCGTCATATTTCCACCAGACGTGCTGTCCAAAACAGCACTTCCTTGACTGCGAATGACCCACAAAAGAGGTAATCAAATTTTACTTCATGTATGCATACAAGTCAAGCTGCAATTATATCTCAATCCACACACTATATTGCTAAAACAAGATTATAGTATTTGGACCGAACACTGTTTCACATTTAAGAAAACTCAAGACGCCCTTTAATGAAAAATCCTGCAAGTAAAATCCCTTACCCCACACAATGATCGCCTACGATCAAAGAATGAGTATTGACATGAAGCAGTGCCATATGACCATCTGTATGCCCCTGCAAAAGTACCGAGACATAATAGCTAAACACTGTCGAGTGTTGATCAAAGTTTTAACTATGCATTCCGATCTTGCACATTATATGCATTATGGGCAGAATCTATGAACAATTTTTCTGAGGAACACACATGCGGCTTTTATGCAGCGCCATTAGCTGGAATAAAACATGCTCAGTGATGAAATGCGTCTACCGTATCCCATACTGAAAGCGTAGTCTTATTTTCTCAACCAATGAGAACTCTGGTGTTCCAAGCTACTAAAACCTGTTGCAGTCCGAATCAAAGCACACATATGGCTAAATTACCGGCGCAAAAACAACTTTCAATCTTTGATCACCAATGAGAATGTCTTCTCCTCCAGAAACTAAAGTATAGTCATGGGACCAGTCATCTGCAGACACAACCGCAGAGAGAAAGAGCATATATTACACAACGGTTTAGAACAATGCCATAAAAAGTAGCAGCAGAAGTATGAAAGGAGAAATGCAAAGCTTTTCTTACAGACGACCTCTCTTAATTCTTCGCATTGTGTTCTCATGTGCTAATAACTTAGCATCAGGCTTGCAATTTTGGATTATAGAGAGACCTATAAAAGAAATAATAGTTAAAATGGATAAGTGACTTACAGAACATGTAGCTCTCTTATTTGAACTATTCAAAGTAAATGTTGAGAACTTCATGATCAAAATAAACAAGAATTGTAGAAGGGCCTAGGTTTTCAAAAAACAAATATATCCAACAAGTAATTTAGCAATATTTAATTCTTAGGGGTACTAATTCATTGAGCGATCTGCATTGCAAGTGAAGAGAGGCGCATGGTAATATCTGTGCATATCTTACCATCAACATGGTCACGATGGTGATGAGTCACAAAGATGATTAATTTTCCAGAAAGAGCAGCAACAATTTTCAGTAGCTGATCAAGCAAGCAGCAAATAAGATAGATCAAAAACATCGAACTTGCTAGGCAATTCATAAGGTATCAACTAGTAACCATCAATAAATTGGATAGTTTTGGATGCCTACAGCCAGCTCGCATTATATGCAGTCAAAATCACCATTCTATGTAAAAGCGTTTAATTGACCTAGATCCGTAAATGTAGAAGTGTTTTGGCGACCTATAAGTGTAAAAGCATAAAGTTTTAAAGCGCAAATTTGACTACATTGCGCATTATAACATGTGCTCTTTATTCCTGCCTATAACTTAATCAAATTAAACCAATCAGACCAAAATGCAAGGTCAACCTGTTCCCATTGTTGAATACTAGAAGTTATAAACCATGATTGCGTTCTCATAAAATAAGAACCCAGTCAAGAGATTCATTCAACTTAGTTGGGACTTCGGACAAAGATTAGGGTTAGGAAACACCTTACTCTGCAAAAGAGACAAAAAAAAAAATTACAGTCTGCACTTTCCCTTAGGCAGCTATATATTGTTTGGTAAAAACAAATACCGAACGGAATTTGATGCATTGGAATACAAAAATGGAAGTAGTCGGTGGACCAGGATGAAGGAGTCATATCATAGATGGAAGTGGAAGGACTCGGACAAACCATCACAAACTCCAGGGTAATTCTACTCTTTTGTTGGGGCACTCTTATATTTGAACTACTCCAGAGACACAGTTTACCAACAACAGAAGACAGAAAGACCTCTTAATATGAGGTTTAAAGTTTCACAATGTTGGCCAAATTTCCAGGTTGCTCACTTCGACAGCGTATCTAATAAGAGGAGGATATCTTCCCTCCATCTCCATGAGTACAAAACTATGTTAGCAATATGATATCTCACCAAAACATTCAAACAACAGATAATCAAGCAGAGCATACTGTCTTTTCCACCAACAGACTAAATTACAAGGCATATATCCATTACCCTTACCCTTCAATAACAAATTTCAACGTTCAGACACGTACCAGATAACACCGATCACTACTAGCACAGCATAAATGTACCCAAGACATATAAAGGATATAGATAGATAAATTGAGAAGCTCAAGGAGATTAAATCAGTGTCTGAGTCCTCAAATGATTGCTACCATTATCATAATAAACATAGTCTGACATATTTGCGGTATGATTTTGCATAAGCTTTCGATTCGTGATCTGTTAGCCAAGAAACAGTGCATACCTCCTCATGAACATTAGTATGGCACCCTGGATCTACTATCAAAACATCTCCAGATATAGCACAACTGTTGTCGCTGAGTTTACCAGAAACAATCGCAGGTGCAAATATGATCAAATTCGTTGTAAGAAAAGGTTTTCCTGTCCTACTTTTCATAGGGACAAGAAAAACCCCTGGAGGGTACTCCTGAAAGTGAACAAAATATTTGCTGTATCAGCGGAAAGCGTGAAAAGCAGAATCTGAAACAAAATGGTAGCCGGAGCACAATAATAGGAGTTTTACATCCTTCCTTGAGATGTCGCGCAGCTCAAAAGAGCACAACAATCCACAAGAAACCAAAGCACTGACACATCTCTCTAGATCTAGAGAGCATCTGAGCTTTTTTTTAATTTCTGAATTCTCAAGACAACTAAATATTCATAAGACCATAAATGTTTCAAGCTAAAACCATCATCCAGCAAACCTGGTAGCGAAGGCTGGTGTGAACTTTCTGCTCTGACGACCGTGACGATTCATTTACGAGACCCACCACTGCTAAGTTCCCAACACGAACATTATCTGGTTTAACATCATGAAGTACACTCAGACAGCTTTCTACAGGCATCCACTTGCAGACATCTGCAAACACAGAACATGAACATTGAAATCACTAACAAGTGATGTTCCCTGAATACAAACAACTAAATTCGTAGACGTTCATATCACTTAAATGGATAAATCAACACCAGAGACTAAAGGTATTCACTCGAAACCCTTGTAAATCAACCTGGTAAGTGCGAGTTAGCCCGAGCTAACTCGCCAACTATATAGATTGTACGAACGGGCAAACCAGGTCCAAACTCAGGTTCCTCTACGAATTTCGAAATTCTCCACGCTCCAATATTGCTTTCCTTCAAACCTACTTGCCCCAACGCCTGAGAATTCAATCGAATAACTTAACAGAACAGAACAGATAAATAAATGGGAACAAGAGGATTGCGTAGAAATTGAGGAGGAATTCAAAGCTTACCCTATCAATAGCAGCATCGATGTCGAAGTTCCTGAAATCGATCGTTTCAGAGAACGGTGCGAGACCTTCGATCACTGCTCCAGGTTCCAGTGCTACTTCCACACGGTTGAGTTTGGTCGACGGTAAGTCCCAGAGATCAGAATCCAAAAAAGAATCGTACACTTCGTCATTGAATTTGGGAGGCGGAGTTTGCCTGACAAGAATGAACTCGCCATCGTCGGCGGCATTGCGTTTCAGGATCAAAGCGAGAATGTGAGTAGCCATACGGTGACCGGTGCCGGAAGAAGCAATGACAAACGTGACCGGAGGTGGACTTCTCGAAGTGGACTATGGAGTTCTTTATTTCGAATTTCCACACGTGTCGAGCTTTTATATTGATCTATATTTAATTTTTTTTTTCAGGCGGTGCCGCGGTGGCGCGTCTTGGCGAGGGTGGTCACTGGTCACTAGCCAGCGAAACAGAAAAATAATACTATCACTCCTTATTGTTTTATATATTAACTGTTTAATCCTTCAGTTTATATTTACTTCTAAATTTAAAAAGTCTAAAGTATCAAAACTAACGACAAACTTTCTAAATTCGTTGCATTGTTCTTTCATGTCATGTTTGGTCCTAGTCCTAGCTCGTCTGGTCTTCTTCCATATCAACTTTGATGATGGCCATTTCCGTTGTTCCATTAGATGGATCGTCATGCATCGAGCGATTCACTAAATAGTAACGGAGATGAGGCTCATGATATATTTGAAAACATTATATGATTGAAATTTTTATTGATAACAAATACATTAGTAATTACCTCTTGTTTTGATCTTTCACGCGCTCATTGTAGGGATGTTTGAGTGATCCAACATGTAATAGCGGTTGGGTAGGGACTATGTTGGATGCAATTAGATTTCGTAGTACCTAATTACCAACAACTTCTATCGTATCTAGAAGCTTTAAATGTGTTACGTTATGTTTCTTGACCTATGAATTTTCATGCTCATATAATGTACAAAAGATCTTGTCATCGTTTAGGACGGAGCTTTCTGTATTTGATTTTTGTGCCTGTTTTTAACAACATTTTTATACCAATTTTTTTATTTCGAGACAAAAAAGAAATTTGGTTCCATATTTTGGAGCGATGAGAAAGTATTAGTGCAAGTCGGAGTATTCTATAAAAGTCTAGGGATCACTACGGAACTTTTCTAAGGAGGGGTATTGTTGAACTTTTGTTAAAGATGATTGCCGAGCACCCTTAACCAGCAAGAAAAGCGAAGAAAGCACAAGAAACCAAGCAAGGAACCAGATCTAGGGTTCTTCTTCCATCGACTGCCCGAAATCCAATTCTCTCTCTGTTTGTTTTCCCGGCTGCACAGAGATGGCACTCGAGTGGGTCGTGCTTGGGTACGCAGCGGGCGCGGAGGCGATCATGGTCCTCCTCTTAACAATCCCGGGCCTCGACGGACTGCGGAAGGGACTGATCGCCGTGACTCGCAACCTGCTGAAGCCGTTCTTGTCGGTGGTCCCGTTCTGCCTGTTTCTGCTGATGGATATCTACTGGAAGTACGAGACCCGGCCGAGCTGCGACGGCGAATCCTGCAGCCCGAGCGAGCAGCTCCGCCACCAGAAATCAATCATGAAGAGCCAGAGGAACGCCCTGTTGATCGCCGCGGCGCTGATCTTCTATTGGCTGCTTTACTCCGTCACCAATCTCGTCGTCAAGATCGAGCAGCTGAATCAGCGCGTTGAGAGGCTCAAGAGCAAGGAGTGATGGAATGTGCTCGGCGGCGGTGGTGGTCGTCGTCGACGAACAGCCAGATAAGTGCATTTTTAGCAAAGTGGGTTCATCTATAGTTTTTGCCATTTCCCGGTGTTTCCTACTGTGATCGAGTATTTGCGCTTTAACCCGTTCATCGTTTTCTTGTAGACGCTTGTTTAGCAATCGTGTTTGTAATGTGTTTCTGTTTGTGAGGTTTCCCATGGACCATTCAAATTCTGCTTGTTGAATTTGATGGAAGGTTAAGCATTATGTTTAGGACAATACAATATAGTAATAACGTTCGTTCTTTGCAATCGAATTTGTTTCCTTTCCTGCCTGTGTTCATTGATTTCGTCTCCAAGTTTCAGTCCGTGAAGCATTAGTATTCAATGAGGCTGCTGTTTGTTAGATAGATTGTTGAATGCACTTCTCTATTCCATGGTGAATTTACAAGTCATACTCTTTTGAAAGCCGTTTTGATACACATGTATCGATCTCCAGAGTTTCTGCTTGAAGCACTACGATTCAGTTGCAACTGCTTTCTGTTGTTGCCTTTAGCTCTGGAACAGGCAGACTGACTTCCCTGATGTTCTAGGACCGGAAGAACAGATTTACACATAGATAAGCACCCTCTCCGAGTCATTGTCTGTCTTACCAATGTCCCTAGTAACCATGACAGTACAAGTCATTGTCTTTCTTGTCAGTAGTGGAAGCAATCGTCCCTGCCGTCGTAAAATAAGAGCACCTGGCTCTGCCCATTCACAAGGACTCGATTCCATGTCCTAACATCACATGCCAGCAGATGTGGTCACCATCATAGGTACTCAAGATATTGTGTTTGGAGAGGTGGATAGATAGGACTTCTAGTTGCTCGATTAGGACCCTAGCTTTATTGCAAGATTTTCACGACCACTTCTTGATGGTGGTTGGTGTATATGGCCCTTTCTATTTACTGTTCCCTCCGTAGTAGTTCTGGTATTCTTGACGAGACCACCATGCATTCTCGTGGGTCTGCTATATCTCATGTTTTCAAAACAGTAAGAAGGCGAGGCCATTGTAATGTCACTATGTCAGGCAAGAAAATTACTTGCTCAAGTTTAATCTTGCCTTTTGTCGTGTGAGCAACATTAACCTGCTTAGGACCATAATCTTTCTTATATGTGCGCTCTGTTACTGCTTGCTGTTGTTAGGAGGTGGAGCGGCAGAGGTTGAGATTTGAGATGTTGGATTAGATGGCTGGATAATGAATGGGGTTTGATGGATAGAATTAAGGGTTGAACACTTACCTGGGGTTATGGAAAAAGTCTGCTCGGGACGCTTAGTTAAGTACTTTCGACGTTTAGTAAGTTGCCCCGACAGGGAAGGTTTAGCTTTCAGCTAGAGGTGGCAATTTCAATCCAATCCACCAATCCAATCCATCAATCCATTAAAAATATCCACCTAATCCAATCCATTTAAATCCAATCCATTTGATCCAAATCCAATTGGATTGGTGGATTCATGGATTGGATCCATGGATCATTGCCAAATTACGGTTTAGTACCTATAATTTTTATTTTTTACATTTTGGTACCTAAACTTTAATTTTTTTATACGAAAAATATCATTAGAAAATTACGTTTTGGTACCTAAAATTTTTCATTGTGACATTTTAGTACCTAAACTTTTTACATTTTACATATTGGTCCTTGGTTGAGGATGTCATTTGGATTCATGGATAATCCACCAATCCACTTGATCCAATCCATGAATCCACCAATCCATTAGATCCAATCCATTTGATCCATTGATCCACCAATCCAATCCATCAATCCACCAATCCAATCCATTTGCCACCTCTACTTTCAGCAGAATAGCTAGAACGTATCCCCGTATCATAGTGAAAAGCTGAGTGCAAAGGGTTATCATGCTCTCGATCCCTTTTAAGGTTGACCTTACTGATACTTTAGTTACAGAAGTAGCACTCCAGAAAATGGAGATTGCACTCTGTTCATATCCTAGGTTGATAAAGCAAAACCCAGTTAGGTTTCAGTCCCACATACTTGAAACAAAATGAAAGGTGGAAACGGACGCTTGAAAAGTATTGAAAGGTCCGTCGGGAAAAGTGGGCAAAACGAGAGGGAAAAGGAGAGGAAAATGCAGTGGAAATTCCATTGATAGGTGTGGAGAAAGTTGGTGGCAGAACGCTTTTGGATTGTTTTATCTCGAATCTGGGGTGAGTGGGCGATCCAAATATGAGGTGATGGTAATTTTATAATGAAGGGGTGTGTGGCAAAAATATGCCTGCCACGCTCTTTCCCACTTCCCCCTCTTCTTTCTTTTCATCAAAAGAGGTTGGGTAGATCACTAGATTGGATATGGTGCGAAGATGGTGATCTATAAACATGTGGTCACTTTTGGTATTGATTTTTTTAGTAGCCTGTTGTTATCATTTATTTTAATCTTTTTCCAACTTCTTCCCAAATAAAGAACTAAAATGATAGAGAAATTGTTTATGAAGGTGAGAGAGATTATCATTCAAGAACAAACACAATGAAGAACCAAAAACAGAGAATACACTAGGGGGTCGTTTGGATCCAGGTTTCCTAAAACCTAGGATTCTGTCCACAATCCCTCAATTTAAATACCTGGGTTTTTAATATGAGAGATTGTATTAAATCACTTGTTTGTTTGCAAACCTTAGGTTTTTAATGAAAAAATGGCAAATACAATTTTGCCCTTTTTCTTCGTTCCAACAACCAGAAACTAAACCTAGAACCCATAAATCTAATACCAAATCACAATTCCTAGATCTCGACGGGTTGGGAGATGATGAAGGATGTTGTAGCTGTTGGGTCCTTGCTATGGTGTCACGATGGCGATGAGAGAAGATGGATCTGGATCCTCAATTTTCCAATTCCCCATCAAGTCGTTGCAGGCGCTGGGAAGAAGCATCAGCCGCCGAGCTTGTTTCTTCCACCAGGAAGAAAGTTTCCCGTCGGGAGGATTAGCGATGGAAAGAGGAGAGGGGAAATCGACTGATTTGGAGCACTCTAGCATCTAATGGACTCGTCTCCGGGAGCGGTTGACGTTGAGCGGAGAAGCAGAGGGCGTTGACACCGACCCAGAAATCACACCAGGTCAAATCTGCAGGCACCGTTTCATGCAATGGAAACATACAACAACATGAATGAGACAACACCAGACTAAGAAAGCAACACCGCCGTTGAATCACCATCAACAGATTCGCGAAGGTGGAAGAGGCAGACGACGCGGAAAATTGTCAGTGACGGTCGTGGCCAGACGATTGTTCTTCTTGTTCTTCTTCTTTATCGACAGCTTTGAAATTGCCAGGAACACGAACCAACACCGAAGGGAGCAACCAGAACCCAGACCTGGATTTTCAGAGATCACATGACAGAGGCGAATGAAGAAGGTTCGTAGGGACAAAAGAGGGGTAAAGATTGGAAAAGATGAAATAAAAACGAGAGATTTGAGAATAGCTGATCTCCATCAGCTATTTTGAAATCCCACATACGTAGGTTTTCGAAATTACTGATGCCCACAATCTCTCATCTTTACAAACGTGTGATTGTTTTAAAATCCTGCATAATGA